GGCCTGGCCCGCGCTCCCCAGCCCCGGGCGCCCGGAGCCCAGCCTCCGGCCCCTGGCGCGCACGCCGCAGACACTTACGGGTGATGAGCTCCCTCTGGGACAAGTGCTGCGGATTGCCCTGTTTGCGGCGGGACATTGCCCCGGCATCTATTCTGGCATTAGCCCGGAGAGCTGCTCGGATGGGGAGCCGGGGAGGGGTCGAGCCGCCGCCGCCGCCGCCGCCGCCGCCGCCGCCGCGCCTCCTCGGCCCGGGTTGGTGTGTTTTTTTTTTCCCTTCCTCTCTTGCCCTCTGTTCCTCCTCCTTCTCCTCTTCTCTGTTTTCGCTCTTTCTTCTATGTTGCTTTTTGTTTTGTTTGCAAAAAGAAAAAGAAGAAAAACAAAAGAGACCAAAGCCTCTTGATCTAAAATAGGAGAACGAGGCCAAAAATAAGAATAATAATAAAAACAAAAAACCTGTAGTCAACAGCCGTTGCTTGCCGCGGACTGGTTGCCTTAAAAATATATACCTTTGAAGGAGAAAAAAAAAAAAAATCTCTTGGACTTCTTCAAACTGCTTGGCCTCTTGGACTTCCAAATGTCTTCTTGAACTTAAAACCGGATTCTGCACCGGCTCCTGACACCTCCCTTCAGGGTCTGGTAGGTAGAGAGCGCACTTCTACCAGGAGGGGGGAAGGAAGGGGGGAAAAAAAGCAAACAAATAAAAAATAATAAAAGAAGAAAAAGAAAAGGAAAAAAAAAAAGCAAAGCAAACTTGGGGACTTGTCTCGTTCCCCCTCACCCCGCCCCCTCAAAAACCCCAAAGCAACGTCAAACTGCCCCGATTCGGTGGCTCCTGGGTTTTCTGCGGGCTGCCTGTCTTTTTCTCGGAGACTGGCCCTCCCGAGGCGCTGGGGGACCCCAGCATCGGCTCCTTCCCAGTTCACCTGGCAGGCTGGCGCCGGCCGGAGGGGCTGCCGGGTCCCCGCGAGCGCTCCCCAGCGCTCCCCTGGCGCCGCGGGCCCGGGGGGAGCGGGACGGAGGGGCGGCTCGCCCAGCGCGCCTGGGTCGGTGCGAGCGCGGACTGGGACCTATGGATTGCAACGTGAAGATGGCGGAGTCCGGGTTCTCTGGGAGCTCTCGGTCTCTCTATGGCTGGGGCTGCCTCTGTACAATGGGATAAAATTCAAGTTCAAGTGCGGACGTGACGTTTAATCTGCACTAGAGACAAAAAGACCCAGAGAGTCGGAGCACTGGGGGCGACTAGCGGTGGCTTTTTAACATTGTACCCTGCGAGAGAACAAGAAAGCACACACACACACAGAGACACGCGCGCGCGCACTCGCCGGTGCGCACACCCGCAGCCGGGCCGGCCACACGTGCCAACTGCGTTTTTGTGCGTCCCTCTTCTCCGTGTGCACGGGCGGGGCGGGGGGGGCAGAGCCCCCCGGGGGGGGCGGGGGGCAGGATATTTTTAAATAAAAGCAAATCCTTCTCTTCATCCCTCCTCCCCTCCTGGGAACCGGACCCCCAGAGAAAGGGGGCGGGGTGCTGTGTGCGTGGAGTAAGTTGGATCAAGACAAGTCCCCACCCATCCAAAAGCTCATTTTGGCTTGGGGGGGGGGGGGTGTGGAGAGAGTTGAGGTGCACATGGAGTCTGGGGGACAAGGCTAATTGCCTCAACTCCCTGGAAGAGTAACTGGGTTGCTTTTACTTTTGCTTTATTGGGGGGTAGGGGTTAAAGTTCCAGAAAGAACTTCCATTTAACCCTCCTGTTACCGGTCTGGACAGAAGCGGACACCATCCAAAGTGCAGGAGGGACCAACTAACAGCACTTGGGGATGGGGCCGTGGGCTCCAGAGCCTGTTAGGTCCCCAGCCGGAAGAAGGTTTCACCTGTCTGCGTGCCCGCCCTCCACCTCCTGGGCTCAAACACGCCCCTTGGCCACGCCGGGGTCTGTGGGAAGTGAGGGGGTGAGGGCAGGGAGCTCCACGTGGGAGGCGGACTTGTACAGCGCTGACCCAGAGCTAGGTGTGGCCGGTCCAGTCGCTGCAGCTCCCCGAGTGGGTGACCCCTGGGGGCCGCAGGCTTCCTCCCAGACCGTGACAATTAGAGCCACACGGAAGGGGTACCTCCAGCCCAACCTGAACTCCTGGGCCCAGGGCAGGACTTGAAATCGCCCGCCAGACTGAGCCGAGCACAGCTGCCTCGTCAGCCTTTTGATCTGCAGCCGGCGAGAAAAGGAGTTGTGGGGGCCTGTCCATGGCCCGGGGACAAGGCCAGGCCGCAGTCCCGGTGGACACCCGCCCTGCCCTGCCCCAGGCTGCGGCCTCCCGGGCTGGGCGCGCCACGCGGCCCGACCCCTCTCTCTCTCGGCCTCCGCCCCAGAAGCCCAGGGCGGGTCGGGGCCTGGCTCGGGGCTGGGCTTCGCGCCCAGCCAGGGACACCCGTCCTCCCAGCCCCTGGCCGCGCGACCCCTAGCGCGCCGCCTCCCGCGGGGCCTTCTCTCGAGGGGCGCGTGAAGGGTTTGTTCGCCCAAAGGTCTTGGGTGGGGCGCCGGCATCAGCAGCGCGTAGCGCTGGGGAGCGTGGCCTGAAGGAGCTCCTTGGCCACCGCAGCTCCCCCAAAACAACACCTCAATGAAATCCCCCCCCCCTCCCGTGTGCGCCGCAGCTCACAGTGCGCAGCAGGGTCTTGGGACCGCCCAAGGCGGTGGGGAGGCGGGCTGGGGGGCTCGGGGCTTGCACCTCCCCCCTAGGGCTGCAGGCGGCTGCCCCCCGCCCCCCAACCTCCACGTGGTCCAAAGTCCGAAGAAGCCTCGCTGTCCTGCCACCCCTCCCCACCGCGAAAGCAGTTCCAGGAAGGTGGCCTGCGCAAGGCAGCAGTGCCCGCACGCACCTTGCTAAAGTTCTTAAGAAAACCGTACGTCGCAACTCGCCCCGTGAGCCCGCTCTCTCCGAGACGCCCAGAGAGGGCCTGCATCCTGTCCAAGGTCACACAGCACGTGGGGGCCGGGGCCGCTGTCCCAGCCCCCGAGACGCCTGCTGCCCCGCGCCGCCTACCGTCTGGACAGACAGCCCGACGCCCGGCCCGCCCCCTCTGGGATGGATGGCGGGGGCCCGGGACCACTCTGCGCCGAGAGAGAGCGGGGTCACCCCTCGGGAAAGGGGGCCCCTCCACGGGCGCGCTCAGGTGCCCCGGCTGCGGCTGCCGCACTCGCGCACAAGGCAGGGCGCCGGGGTCTGGGGAGGGGGCACCGCGGCCCGGCGCCGGC